ATTTCATTATTTATTTCATTGAAATTGAATTTAAGTTATTTCATTTTATTTCATTGAGTATATCATTGAGAGATGAATTATTTCATTGAAAGTAGAATGAGTTTTGAGTTATTTTAATTTGTGGACTCGAATTCGATTAAGCGATTAAATTAAGCAGTTGTTTCGATTCAGATAATGCTTGGTCTGTGTTCACACGAGCCGCATTTCTCGTTGCTTCGTGAAGAAGTGAAATTCGGCAGACCGCCGAAATACAAGCAGAAGGGAGCAGCGGCTCAAAAGTTGGTTGTTCATTTGGTTTTAGTTGATTATTCGATTGTTTCGTTGAGATTTGTTTTGTTTTTGATATCGGATTATTAATATTCGTTCAATTTTTTGAATTCGTGTGAGCGATTTTGTCTGTTTTGAGATAATTTGTTGAATTGTGATGAAATTTGTTTTGTTTTTTTTTTGTTTAGTAATATTGGTTTGGTGAGTGTTTTGGGTGAATGTTGGTGTGTATTGTATCGTATAGTATCATATTATATCGTATTGAAATTTCAGGACGGGTGGTGTGGAGCATATAACGTTTCATTTGTTACATCTTTCGTTGCTTAGAGAGTATCTGTCGTGGGAATTTCGATCTATCGAGGTGAGGTGTTGATTTTATTCATTTCATTTTGATCATTAGTGTATTTATGTAGCGATGAATTGAGAATTTATTTGAAGAAGGAATTTATTATGGTAATTCATTTGTTAAAAAAATTTGAATTATGAAAAAATTATTGTGAAAGTATTATTATTTTTATTGTGGAATTGAAAATGACTGCAAGAGAATTTGATTTGATTTGAGGATAAATTGTCGTTTGCCTACAATGTGGAGTCGATAATAGACGATTGGGTATTGATGGGTTTCTTGATTGGCAACGATTTCATCCCACATTTACCGCATGTGCATATTCATGAGGATGCGTTGCCGGTGCTTTATAAGACTTATATGGAGGTATTACCGCAATTGGATGGTGAGTTAATTGGTTTGGTTTAAGTGAATTTGATTTGTTGAGTGGATGGGTAGATATGGACAAAGAATTGGTTTTTGATTTTAGCTTGTGATTTTGTTTACGAAAAAAA